TTTGGTGTTGGAAGGCGTGTCATGCGGGAGCTTGTTCATGCGGCCATTTGCCCGTGCAAAGCTTTGCGCTTGCGAAGCTTTGCCTGCGAAAACGTGCGCCATGGAAAAGGAGTAGTGCTTATTGTGTGGGTAAGTTTTATACTGAGTTCTGCCTAGGAAGAAATGCGGTGCAACTAAGTTTGATACGAAGCTCTCTCCTGGAACGACCCCCAGCAAGTACGGTTCTCCGCCGTCCCGCCACGAGCAGGGCTAGTGACGCTGTCGGGCGCGCCGGAGCTCGTGACCCCGCTGTCAGCTCGTCACAGTTATCAGCGGGGTCGCCAGATTTTACGAGCACGTGCGGTGGGACCGGATCAGTCCGAGCGCGGCGAGCGGAGCGCGGCAGGAGGACGCGTGTGTCCGCCGCAATCGGCGAGACCCCGGGCGTAGACACGGGCCGTGCATTAGCTGGCCAGATGCGGCGCACTGATACCGTCCCCGGCCCGGTCCCTGCGCGTGGGGGCTCCGCTGGCCGCCGGCCGCCCGGCTGTTTATCACGCGGGTGCGGGCCAGGTGGTCGCCAGTCCCGCTGAGGTCGACCTGGACTCGGATGATGATGCCGGCAGGATCGCGGCGTCCATCAGCGACGCTGGTGCTGGCAACGACCACAGGCGTCTCTCAAAGCCTTTCCAGGTGCTGCATCCGCTCAAGCGTCACCATAAATGATAGCCTATCGTTGGGTTCGACTCTTCGCGGGCGCAGAATCCAGCTCATGCAAACATCTCGGCGCAGCACAGTTATGCACTGTGTTTGAAAGCGTACGCTACAAGCTGTTAGAGTAGGCAGAATGGCCATAGGGTCGGAAGGGTGAATTTCCCCACCTAAATATTGCCATATTTCATTCTATTACCTCAGCTCCTCCAGAGGCTCCACTGCTCTTTATCTAGATAGCCCAGCTGTTCCACGTTAGCGTTGTTGAGATATACCTACAACACGGTGCTTGAACTCTTCCGCTACTCCTGCTCCACCCAGATTAAGCTTGCAGACAGACAACAAAGTGGGGACGTTCTAGTACTTTTTGGGTTAATTCGATATATTACTGCGTTGCATGTGGGACTCGAAGCGGGTTACTTGCTTGCTTGATATTTTGCTCCAAACGGCAAATACGATTTGCTGCATTAGAGAGCCAACTGGCTTTTGCCCATGACATCTCAAAGTGGCTGGGTAAAAGAGCGGCGTGATTTACATCGAGCAGCCGTCTCGTGTGGCTATTCTGCCTGATCAAGGTAGCCCATAAATCAGCTGGAGATGGTTGATGTGTCACTCGCGGCTCCGGCGTCCGTTACTGTATCACATTACGGACTATTTGTAAACGCTCGCAGAGACACCGCCAAACCTGAAATGTCTCATTGGCAATGTCATGACCGTTTACTGTGTACACTTTCTAATTTATCTCGATTTTTCGATGAGTGTTGGGGGTGGGGGGGGGGGGGGAGTGGGCTTTTACAAAGCTGTAAGATGCCTCAATGAGAGAGAAGAGAGTCAACTTTTGTTGTAAAATCTCCAAAACTAGAGGCGCTTTTCAAGGGAAGAAATGCTAAAATGAGACATGGAATTATGCACACAAGTATGCGTGACACTATTGAATAGCTTTGACAATGAAGGCGCAGGATAACCAATCGGACTCAAATTCCACTTCCAATCCATTTATTCTCTGTACATGTTTTTCATCGAATCCAATTCGGCAAAACATGACTTGAGTCATCCCGCCGGCATAGGGTTACTTGCTTGATGTCTTGCTATTTTAATTATTAGATTACTGTGCGGCGAGTACGACTGAGCAGCGGGGTAGGACGATTTGTGTCAGGTTTTACGCTGAGATCCCTCCTGCTATAGCTCATGTGCATAGGACTACTACAGGTATATCTGCAAAAATATTCATGCCATTCAGCTTAATATATAGTGGTAAGGTTTTGGGGAGCACGTCGTTGTTTCGTGGTGAATGACTTCTGAATGGCCTCCTCTCAAATGAGACAGTTTGCCGCACCCTGGGGTCAATTGTATCAGATTTTAGGTGACGCTATGCTTGCGGTTTTGGCCAAAAAGTAAGTTGTATCACAGGCTGCTGAATGCGTTACGACATGCACTTAAAATGCACTCGTCTGTGCTATTTCACTATTCGTTGTGATTGCGACATGACAATGTTTTTTTTTTTACTAATCAGATCGATTCCGCGGTCCACGCGCGGTGGGCCAATGTTGTTACATTGCCGGTTTTCTACATCATATAAATGTGCTTAAAGCATATAAAACCACATACCATTGTGCTTAGAATTGAACAAGGACCACGCCTGTTTAACCCGCCTGTTTAACCCGCCTGTTTAACCCGCGCCCGGCCGGGAGAGTTGACCTCCCCAAGCGGATTTTTTAACACAGGTCAAAGAGAAACCCTCGCAGCGACGCGGCATTTTCAGTACTTGTTCATCTATCAAGTTGGCACCCTATTGTACAAATTTCAAGTTTTGGTCTACCAAGATCAATGACCTAAGCTAGGTAAAACATGACCTTGGCCCAGGGCATTAGCTATCATTATGGGTATCTTTTGCAAAGCTCAAAATAGGACAGCTGAGCTCATAATAGGCAGCTTGAGAAGTAATTTCGGACACCAAATTCGAACACTTCACTGAAAGCGTGTTGTGATTTCATTCCATTGCATATCGAGGCCACAATAGGTCGCGTAAGAACATGCAAGGTCAAGTGAGGTCACCTAAGGCCAATGACCTGTGTTGTCGGTAGAGGAGAGGCTCTTTTCTTCAGTACTTCGATATAACCTACTTGGCCTCGTAAAAAGCTTTACAGAAATATTGCATGTCTTACGTACCAAACAGTTTTATTCTTTATGGTCATATTTCAGTAACATCATGATAAAATGAAGCTTATTTGCATACGTTAGACGTAAATGTGCTACTCGAGTTAGCATCATAGAGGTGGTCAGCATAGCGTCAGCTGATTGTGTAGGAAATACGTCAGGTGATTCTGTGACATCACATAACATTTCGGAACGTTTTCCTTGCGGATTGAGCTAGTTATTTAAAAAATGCGGGTTCCTTTAAGCCTTTTACTTCATTTGTTTTTATCAGAGACTGCCAACTTGCATGTGGTAAAAAGTCGTACAATCTTAACGTTGACCATTTTTGCGGCAGTCAGACCGACCTCGGCTGTCTTGGCCTGTAGTTCCGTCGTGCCCGCTCCGTGACCGTGTGGCCTCCAGTACCCATCCGGCCTCCATCCATTCACCAGAGCACGCCTGCCGCGGGAGACGCCCCATCTCCACCCACGTCCTCCTCCACTGGACTGAGATAGAATCGCCCGGCCGGCCCGAGCTTGACGAGGCCCAGACCGCTCTCCGAGCGGGACCAGCCAGTCTTAGTGCCTTGCCAGCTTACGTGGTTACACTAATGAAAGCCCTTGATGATTCCCCGCCAGGGGCATTACTGACAATGCGCCGAAATAGTGAGCGATGACACCGATCATCCTGCATTGCTTTTGCTCGAATTATCAATGCCGTTTGTAGCGGTTGGCCGGACACTGGCTTTCGTGGTGGCAGGACTTGGCACAGCTTGAATACCGGCAACAGAAGGCCACCACGGAGCGCATTAAGTTCTGGATGACCTTTTGGTGTCACAATAAACTGGTTACATAAACTAAGGAGGTCAGCTGCGTTGCAGTCTTTAGGTCATTTAACAAGAGGCACTGAATGGTACAATTAGCACGGCGGGCCACGATTCACTGAAAGTTAACATAAACGGCTGTGGTTTATCATTAAGGTGGGGCGAGAGACTCCAGACGTCCCCCGCTTTGCTTTTCTTGGATAAACCATTTTGGGGGGCATATTTCTGGTGCAGGTCCAGCCATTGTTCCTTTTCGCTAACCTAACTTAAGATGCGAAATTACGCTTCTTGGATGCATGGACACCGTTCCACATTCGTCACGAAAGTACTCTCTCTCTCTCTCTCTCTCTC